TAAAGGGCCAATTTCTTTATGGTGGTGGTGGTGGCTAAATATACTTAGTGTGCATTCATCAGCCCAGATACATGCACCTTGGGTGTGCTATAAAACAGATATATCAGAAAAAGTGACTGTAAAAATGGCAACTTCCCAGAAAACACCCTGGTTCACTGCATTTTAGTTTAGTGACAAAAAATAAGCTTTTACTATTATTTGTTCTATGAATACAGCTCCTTATGCAGTGCTCTGACATTGTAAATACTTTAAAGCTGTGTCTCTAGTCTTCCATCTTCTCTTCCCTTTTGTATCTCCTAGCTTGCACTGATTTCTATTGGCATCCTAGTTATCAGGATCATTCCACCAGTTTTCACTAATTGAATTTTTTTTCATCAGCCCAATCACATGTTTTAGGGCCCTATTCTGTTCTCCATTATACTGTTATAAATCTACAGTAGCTCCAGTTTGGCCCACTAGTTCTCAGAGAGAACTGTGTCCATGCAAGTTTCAGACTTTAGCCTTTTTGATTGCCTTTGCTTATATAGATCCACTTTTATGTAACAGAATGAAACAAAGTCTCTTGGGCTGATAATATAAGGTGTTTCCCTAGGGTTTTGTGTTCATGTGTGTTTAAAATTTCAGGAAAATATCTCCAGCCATTTTTGAATTAAGGAAAAGTGGGAGAAAACCCCACTTTCCCATTGTAAAAATCTAACCACTTTGTATAAGCCATATAGCGCTTGTATAGAAAATATCAGCTGAAAAGGTGTTCCAAAAAACCTGTGTTTAAAACATTCCAAACTCTAGTGGGAATCTTTAATTATGTTTTCTAATAAACTGCACACCCTCTTTTTTGGGAGGGCGGTGCTCTAAATTAATTGGTACAGTCTCTTTAATAGGAGGTTGATTTGAGATTTTTTTTGAGGTTGAGAGATTTTTTTCATAATTTGCATGACTTTGGATCTAAACTTTATCAATAAGTCTCTTATGACTCTGGAAATCACTGCTGGAGAATATCAGGATGAGTGTGAATCTCAACAACTTCAAAACAAAATGCAAATCCAGCCTTCCCACAATAGCACTGCAAAAAATAAAATAAAACCAAAATCTGGGTTCTGCTGACTGGAGGGAACAGCAAAACATCTTATGTGCACTCTTCATAATTTTTGGGTGGCACTCAGATACTAAGGTGATAGGGATCATATAAGATCCAAGACAGCCAGACAAATGGAAGATTCTCTAGAGTGACAATTGAAAATAATTTTAATTCTAAAGCCCTATTTTTGCCTTCTGTAGTTTCCGCTTGGAAAATCACTTTGGCCTGAAAATTACTGATGACAAAACAAAACAGAACCTGCAAAGTTTGAAGAAAATTCATCAAATGTTAGTTTGAGCTATTGGCCATTTAAAAAAAAATTACCCTGATTTGATATTGTCTTTTGCCTCCCCCAGGCTCAATGAAACCTGTGTTACTATCCCTTCAAACTTTCCTTACTCTCAAAAACAATAGAGCAGGCCATAGTTGAAGAAAAATTGTGATCAAGCAATGTTGTTGTGTTAATTGTTTTGGGAGGTGAATTGATGAAAGTTTTGGGCCCAATCCTGTTCCCATTTTTTTTAACCATTGATTGCAGTGGGATCGGTATTGGGTACTCTAGATTTCTCAGAGCACACTGTGTGGTAGAGATTAAAAAGAGCAAAGGGATATTCAGGGTTCCAGTCCCAGTTCTGCAAGTATTTAGTTTATGAAGTGGTGGTAGCCTCTCCATAGTTAATGGTGCAGCTCTGGTAACATTAAAAAGGCAAATTCTGATCCCCTTTGTTATTCAAGAAATCCTCATGATCTCAGATTTAGGGTTAAATCTACCTGACAAATAGAATTTGTTCTGATAACTTGGAATAAATGAGAGCACATAATTCTTGTGATTAAACCTTCACACACTTTTTTGTGAAGTGTGTAACATTTCTTTATCTTCCTGTTTCAGTCCAGTGCCATCAAATTATATTACTATGTTGTTATCAGGTGCTTAGTGTTTACAAGATCACTATTCATATACCTAAGATGTGGTCTACCCTTATGAATATGACGGGGTGTGATTCTTTGCTGACATGGTTATACTGGTAAAACCCCTAGTGTAGATGCTTTTAGAGCAGGGGTCTCAAACACGCGGCCCGTGGGGTGATTTTCTGTGACCCGCGAGCCCCTC